ACTTCGAGCTTAGCACACAGCCAAAAATTGAAACTCAAGTGAAATTTCCACTTTTTCCATGAATTTAAATTTTCAAAAGCATCCATTCATTAGGTTTGTTCCAAGCTTCTCGAAGTCACTTCGAGTTACATATACGCGCTCCGCAAGTGAGTTTTCGAGTTTCTTTCCCTAATTTGCCCTACCTGGGTCCGCCACTGATATGTATGTATGCATGTACGAGTATGAGCTCTGAATAGCTCATTATGAGCAGACCCATAATGAAATGCACTTTTGAAAATGAAAATTAAAAAGTATTTTATTTAAACGTCGTATTTATGTAGATTTCCTCAATTTAGTTTAATTAAGTATCTTTGAAAATCAAGTCATCAATATGAAAATCTAACCATAATTGTTGTTACCAGTGTTTGGCAAAATTGTATGTAGGTACTAAGTACAAAATTATTAAGATATTTAGGTTGTAGTAAACAGCAAAGTAATATTTAGTAAAGTATTTTGAATATTATTAAATACCAAGTATTATATTAATATTTTATAGCACAAAATACTACTTGTACAAGTATAAAAGTGTTTCGAGACTTTGGCCTTACTAAATACTGGCTCGGGACCATTTCGAGATTTTCGGTATTCTCGGAACTATTTAGGGAATTTCAAGACTTCTTCAGGATTTTCAGTACTATCGAGGGGGTTCGAGATTCTCGGGACTATTCTTGATTATCAGGAGTATTAGAGGAGTTCCGCGAATCCCGAGATTCAGGAGTATTACAGGACTTTCAAGAATCTCGGGATTCTCGTAACTCGTGAACTCGTGATCTTGAAGGCGTCTTCGGTCCTTTAGGGACTAATTCAAGGTTTCCCAGATTATTTCGAAATTTTCGAGATTCTCTGCACTACATCGTAATTTTCGGGACTTTCGAGATATTCGGACTATTCCTGGCCAGTAACATATATAACCGATATCGATTTAAAATCGTTCGATTTAAATAACATGCCTGATATCGGGGTTTTCGGTACTACCTCAAGTTTTTCGGGACTACATACTACTCGATTTTCGAGATTTTCAGAAATAAATCGCTGAGCAGAGATTAGGCAAGCTGGGTTGGATTCAGTAACTGTTAGAAAATACAGTGTACACAGAGTGCAAAACTCACAACCAAAAACTCACCAAATAGAGGTGTACACTATTTTGACAGGTAAAACTCATTCTCACACTTGCTGAACCACAAACTGAGGAAGTGTACACAATTTTGACAGTTAAAATTCACTCTCACACTTCTTGGATCGCAAAATGAAGAGTGTACACAACTTTCAGTGTACATTTGAAAACTTACAGTTACAGAATTCAGCCACTGATGTGAACTGAGTTGAGGTGAGTATAAGTTAGGTGAAGTGAGGTGAGTTGAGTTGAAATGAGTTGAGGTATGTGGAAGGTAAGGTGTTAATTGCTTTAGTTTCTTCGGTACAAACTCATGATTTGCGGGACTTCTTACGATTTTTGGGACTGGTTTGGGATCTCAAAAAATAAAGTCTGGTTTCTGATTTGCATCGCTGAGCAGAGATGAAGTGAGCTGATGTGGGTTGAAGTGAGTTGACTTAAGATGAGGTGAGTTCAGGTATGTGTAAGGTAAGGTGTTTATTGCTTTAGTAATCTCTATTGAAGAATACATTTTCTTTTCAAATTACAAATACATTTTTATTCACCATTCCAGTAATTTCGAATGACGAATAATTTTTCATTCATCATCATGAATAAATTTCAATGTACTATACAGTAGAGCTCTCGATTTTGTTCGCACATTTTCAAACAGCCCGGGTATAT